CTCAGGCCTTGGCAAGCAGATAGGCATGACGTGGGGTCCCAGGGGCACAGGCTCCTGCAGCTGCACCAGAGCTATGTCATGATTGTAGTTCTGGATGTTGAAGTCTGGGTGGAGCACCACTCTGGAAGCTGAGCTGTTGACAGCTCCTGATTTGTCCCGAACGTCATGCAGGCCCAAGTAGACAGTGACATGCTCCTTGGAGACTGGTATCACTGTGTTGTCTCTGCGCTGTGAACGCAGCACGTGAGCGGCCGTGAGAATCCAAGACTCAGAGAGTAGTGCTCCACTCCCGAACCACTTGTCATTTGGTACCCTTGAGGTGTCCTCTACCACTATCAGAGCCTGCCATGGAAAGAGGCCAGGCTCAGCATTCCGGCCTCCAATGATCCGCTTGACCAGATTTGGCAGGGAGCGGGAGGGCTGGCCACACACTGTAAGGAGAAGGAGGGAGTGGGGACAAGAGAAAAAGACTGGTTAGGACAACCATTTGAAAAGAGCCACTAAGAAAAATTCATATCTTACCCATTGTGGATTATGCCACCATGGCACCCTAACCTGCCTGAGTCATGCTAACAGAGCTCTGTCCTGGGACAGTTTGTATCTAGGTCTCTATAGGATGGCCCATCTCCCACAGTGATGGCAACCCAGTAGTTGAAGCCATCTCTAGACCAGATCATTTCATGTTTGGGCCATCTCTCTCTTGAACTACCACCTCTGGCTATTACTACTTTTGGCCTGGACCGTCTTTAGCCAGAACTGTCCCTAGCAGTATCCACTTATCCCCTTTCTTCCCTAAAAAGGTATTTTATATCCCAGAAGTTGTTCATACTGTGGGCACTTGAAGAACTTCTATAAGTTTTCTCTCCATCTTCATGGGCACAGAGAAATGGAAGTATTATAAAAGACAATCTAGCAAGCTCTAATAGTTACTGGACTGGGTACCAAGATGCTTGGAGCCTTTACCTGGTCTTTCTATTTCCATGCAACTTTGAATCAGAACGTTTTCTCTCTTAATTTCAGTTTTTGGTTTGCCAAATGAAACAATTGGTCAAGATGATCTTCAAGAATTTTCAAATTCCAAATTCCTTTGATTTTTATTTCATTTTCCCTGACTACCCCCAGTTTATGGATGAAGACAGTTAAGAGACTATCCCAAGAGGACATCGTTATCAAATTGGATAGTAGGGTCTTAAATGGATTCTTAAGACAGTTTACATATTAAGACCCTAGTTGTAGACCCTCAAATCTTTTCTCATCTGGCTAAAGGACTCATTGATGCCTGTGTATTAAGTCTCAGGACATAGTATGTAGGGGAAAGGTGGCATAATCCACAAGCAATGATGCATGGGCCCTATTTGGACCACACATCATTGCACCCAGGAGCCCTGTAGTACCTTCAAGGGAAGGAGAAAGGTCTGAGAAAACTTCATTCCACTGAGTTGTACCCCGAGCATGCACATGCACCACCGGCCTCCTGCAGCCAAATGCCTCTGGCTCATGAGCGGTGGGTCTTCAGAACCAGCCCTCCCACTGGCTAAGAACAAGCACACAAGGACAGGGTGCTTTTGTCTGGGAGGTAGGTCGTGTGTGTGAAGGTCCCCTTATGGTTGTAAATGGCCAGACTATACTTCTTGGCCCTGGATATTCTCAATAATCCTTCAGAGACCAAGGGACATTTGAGTTTTCTTGTATCTTGGTGACTTTGGGAGGGAGGGTTTTCAACAGCCTAATGTTCTTTGGATGCTGACACCAAATGCTTCTTGTTTGATGCTGGAGCACTCTGACATTCACCCCAGGTCAGATGTGGATGGGGCTTTGTAACTCTCTGTGACCTGGCCTTTCAAGGCTAGCCTCCCATTGGAAGCTGCAGCCTACAAGGTGATATCTCAAGGCAATTCTATGCCTGGCCTGTGTAACAATTCTCTTAGCACTTAAAGATCCTCATCTGGTAAGGCACACCTCTGTGGCTCAATTCATGGTCACTACAAAGCCCTTGGCCAGCACTGAATGGTACCTTCCTCCAAAGAGGCATACCCCAGGTCATAGAAGGTCAGAACAGAGCAACCTCTGAGGGTAGCTAATTTACAGATGGAAAAATGGAGGGTTAGAAAAGGCCAATAATATACTCAAAATCATTGGTGGTAGAGAAAGCAGTAGAACCCATTACTCCTGACACCAGCTTTTTTTTCCCCTCCTTGATGTGCCCTTGTCTTTTCATGAGGTTGAATGATACAACAAGTCTTTGAAAGAGCTCATTGAAATGGAGTGATTCTTGATTTTTTTTAAGATGAGGCCTTGCCATATTGCCCAGGCTGGCCCCAGACTCCTGGGCTTAAGCAATACTCCTGCCTTAAACCTGTGAGTCACTGGAACTATAGGGCATGCTGCTGTACCCAGCTGAAATGCAGTCATTACTGGCTGTTGTCCTTCTCCTCCCAGACTTTTCTGAGACAAAGGACTATTCTTGAAATGGTATAGCTTTGGCTGTGCTAAAGCCAGATTTGGGCTTACAGGATGGTAAGCACTGAAGAAGGGCCCTTAGAATAAAAAGGTGACATTCCAGGACTCTGAGTGCATGAGGATGGCATAAAAAATGACTGACTCAAAAAGAGCTCAACATTGTTGATTGTTATGGTTTAGATGTGAGATGTCCCTGAAAAGCTTATGTGTGAGACCATGCAAGAAGGTTTGGAGGAGAAATGATTGGGTTATGACAACCTTAACCTAATCAGTGAATTAATCCCTGATGGAATTAACTTAGTGGTACCTGGAGGCAGGTGGGATGTGGCTAGAGGATGTGGGGCATTGGGGTTATGGCTTTGAGGTATATATTTATATCTGGTGAGTGAAATCTCTGCTTTCTGATCATCATATGAGCTGCATCCCTCTGCCACACTCTTCCGCCATGATGTCCTGCCTCACCTCAAGCCCCAAGGAATGGAGCCAGCTGTCTATGGACTAAGACATCTGAACTTGTGAGACCTCAAATAAACTTTTCCTCCTCTACAGTTGTTCTGGTTGGGTCTTTCAGTCAGAGCAGCAAAAAATCCAACTAAAATACTTGTGTTGACATAAAAAATTTCAGGATCATCCTCCAGTTCTGCTCCTAAGTCTCTGGAGGAAAACTTGCACAAATCATTATACCACTATGATCCTCACTTTTCTAAGTTTTATCTGTAAAATAAAGGGGCAGCTCATATTTCCTTAGTAGGCCCCCTGAAAGATTTTGGTGCTAGATAAAATGGCTTTCTTTCCCTCCTGGTTTGCATCTCAGTTCCATGTCTCAGTATTTTGAGAGGAAAGAATTTGGAAATTTCCAGCCTGATCCAATGGTACATGATGGTTTGGCCAACTTTAGGTGTTAAGAGAATTTCATGACTCATCGTATCCCAGATCTTTTGTATAAACATAAAGAGCAATAACCATTACGAGTCATAGAATGTGGTGTATCTCAAAGAATGTGTGGCTCCCTTACTTCTGAGGTGTGGAATCCCATTCCTAGAGAGGCGAGATTACTTACTAAGGATGATAGTTAGGAAGTAGCAGCACCAGCATACCACCCAGGCCTGTGACTTCTAGTCCAGTGCATTTCCCTCCTGAGTGTGGCAACACGGCCTCCCAGGATGAAATCACCCCTGGTTTTCTTTGGCTGACTTTAGTTTTTTAGCAAAAGAGAAAACTGAACCTCTAGTTTACCACATCTCCACTATTCTCCTCTTCTCTGAAGCTTCACCACCTGGAGTCCTTGAGTATGTTCATGGCCAAGCCAAACTGAGGAGGTGAGTGGGAGAGCATAATGGGACCAAGATGACCTTTCTTTATTTCCCTCTTCACAGGTTCTTTCTTAGGCATAAGACCTCTTATGTGAAGTCTTCCTTCCTGGAGCTCACCTCTCACTATAAAGTGTAGTCAATTCCTCTTTCTCTGGGATCCCATGGCACCTGTGATGGCTGAAAACTGACTCCCAAACGTCAATATGTTCTTCACTTCATAAGAATCAATGGTAGAGAACTCCTGGGCCTTCCATTTAACGTCTAACCTAACATCTAGAAGCCCACCGAGTGAATGTGTGCCATTTCCCTAATACTCTTAGTTTACCCAATGCTGTAATTCAGTGAAATACAAAGGTTACTCAGCTTCAGCATACTATAGATAAAATAAGCCACATTTCTGTCCACCTTCTCATTTGAGCCTCACAATAGCTCCTGCTGTTCATGCAAATGTGCATATGGAATCAGGAAGGATAATTAATTTTCAAATTTTTTAGTGCTACCTGGAATGATGTATCATTTAATTAGTACTATACTTGATTTTTTAAAAAAATTAAATATGTATCAATTACTGTGTTGTAAATATTAAATTTAATTTTTGTGAGTTATTTGTTTAACCCTCTGGTGTGCATTTTTGGGTTATGATTTCTAAAGTTTATTTAAATATGCACATTGCTTAAAATGTAAACCATCCATACTTTCAGCACTAAAGAAAATATCCCCCCAAACTATATGCACAGTGACACTTCCTGCTATGCTACCACCAACTTCTCTTTCCATTTTAAAGTGGGGTCTGCAGATAAAACACAGGGAAGGCAGAGATCAAAAAGACTCGCATGCATTGTTCTTTATAAGAACTTCTTCCTCTGTCCTACAGTTGTTTCTTATTGGAGCCTGGTGAGTGCTCGAGGACAGAGTGCCTGCTCTCTTGATTTCTCTGGCACAACAGATTGTGTTGTGTTGGATGAAAAAATCTGGTGGAAAGGGAGTGGAATTGGACAGAAAGGCAACAGGGGGTTCCTGCACAACAGAACAGGCTGAATATAGAGTCTAGTTAGTTTGAGAAGGTGTGAGACTAGGCTTCTCTGACCTTCAACCTTCTGAAGACATCTCTTAAAAAAAAAAAATCAAAGCATCTTCCCTTTCAGCATCTGCTAACAGCCAGAGCACCTAGGGCTCTAGGGCTTTGAACAGGAGACTTGGAGACACAAGACTTGGAGGGTAAGGTACCTGGAAGGCAGGTGGGCAGGCTTCTTCCCAGTAATTCATTTGTCCAGACCCCTTGGGCAGAGCAGGTATACATTCCTACAGGAGTGAAAAAGGGTGGAGAAGAGAAAGAAAATGATTGATGTGTAGCACATGGAAAATAGGTTTGGATTCTTAATTCCTCTAATGTGGATTATTGTAAAAAATTCTTTTAAATGCCCTCTCTGATATCATTTTCCCTGAGCCTGTCCTCTTTGCAACTTGCAGGATCTTTCTAAAATGGGAATCTAACCACAGTTCAATTACCAGTGGATCCTCACTGTCCTTAAAAGTAAATACCACACTCTTCGTGGTGTCCAGCGCTCTGTGCAGTCTGACTCCTGCTGGTTTGAGGCTGCTTGCCCTGGGCTGTCCATCCCTTGGCAGTTTTCTCCCTCTTATTAATCACTGAGACCTTGGTTCACACAGCTCTCTGCAGCACACATGCCTCTCAGCACTTAAACCCTTTAATAAGCCACATTTCTGTCCACCTTCTCATTTGAGTCTCACAATAGCTCTGTGAGCTGTATCACTGTTCCTTGTTGAAAAGTGAGTTCTTGGAGACTTAGAGAAATTAGAAGAGTTTTCTTTTCTTTTTTCTTGGTACTGGGGATTGAATTCAGGGAGTACTCTACCCCTGAGCCACATCTCCAGCCTTTTAATGTATTTTATTTAGAGACAGGGTCTCACTGAGTTGCTTAATGTCTCACTTTTGCTGAGCCTGGCTTTGAACTCATGATCCTCCTGTCTCAGCCTCCTGAGCCACTGGGATTAGAGGCATGTGCCACCATGACCAGCGAGAGTTTTCTTAGTGCTCATTTTCCATAGAGGCAGAGATAGGCCTTTCTATCTCTGAGAGGTTCTCTTTTCTGCTAGGACTGTGACTATGCATGAGGGTGTTGGGATGCTTCAAAGACTCATTCTAGGGTAAGGTGGGACATATCACCACATATGTCTCTTCCCAATTCTTCCCAAACCTTCACTGTGACCAGTGTACTGGCCAATGGTGGTCCTTCACCCTTTAGCCTGTGAGCTTCTGTCTGACCTCAGGAGCCTGGCAGGTGGTATGGATGAGACCTGGACTGGAACAGCTCCAACTGTGTTGGAGTCTTGGTCAGGGCATACACTGGGCTACCTTGGGAGACAGATGGATCTGCTCCCCATTTCCCACTCCACCTGGACCCTGTGCATAAAATAAGAACAGGTCTTTGAAGGAAGATTCCTAGTAGGCTTGCCAAATGGCTCTGGTTTGGTCATATGTTACACTCAGCCAGAAACCAAGGCAGAGACTGGCTGAAGTGGAGACCCAGGGCGTTTTCTGGAAACCTCAACTCAGCCTCAGGCAACATGTAGCAATTCATTTTGGGACATTCCAGGCTTTCGTTAGGTTCTCACATCTTCCCTTTGCTGTGTTCTATCTGACTCCTTTATGCTCCTAAAAGATGTGTGCTCATTGGTAGAATCTGGGCTAGATTAAAATGAGAGGAAAAAAAAAAAGACAGAAAAGGATAGGGTGTTGGTCCTGAGACTCAGTCTCTGCATCTTAAAAAGGACAAAATAATATGAGTTCACGCATGAGTATCAGTTGAGGCGATGTGTGAGAGGACAATTTTTGCATTATTAAGCACCCCATACCTATGAGCAGTTGTTCCTTACAGAGTGATTTCAGCTCCCAGCCTATCCAGAGTGCCAGAGAGGGTGAGGTGGGAGGGGGAGAGTATGGAAGGCTCACCTGTGATGTTGTGAAGCATCTTATAATAGGGCTGTTGACAAGAGTATCTGATCTCAGATTTGTATGTGGTGAGGTTGTTCCTTGTGAAGAAGGTGACCAGTCCATGTTCCAGCTCAGTTGGGGCTCCACAGTCTACAACTAAGAGAGAAGCAGTGAGACCTCTTCACTATCTTTTGCTCTTCCTCTTGTTACCATCTGTTGGATTTTTTTTCTTCTACAGATGTGCAGGTTATGCAATGAGCACAACTCCAGAAAGCAAAGTTATAAGTCAAGGATGTCCCTGGAATTGTACAGGGTCCAACCTCTGCAGCTCCCAGTGCCCTTGCTTTTGGGGTCTTTCCATCATGACATTACTCTATGATCAACTCACCTGGCCCAGGGTCAATTTCAGAGTAGAGGCAACTCTGCTGAGATTTAAGGAGATCCAAGTCTCTTCCCTACCATCACCTCTTTCCCCCACTTCTAGTTCTATTATGAAATCCTTTCTGCTACTTCTGCCCAAGCATGAAGCCCATGCTCAGTTTGAAAATTCTGGCTGACCCGAACCAAAGAATCTTCCATTCTTCCAGTCCCAACCACAGGGTGACTAAGATCAGTTAATTTGCTCATATTAGAGCTTGGCGCACACACACATACCAAAAAAAAAAAAAAAAAAAAAAAAAAAAAAAAAAAAAAAAAAAAGAAAGAAAGAAACAAACCCAAACAAATAAAAAACCCAGTTCCTGCAGGAGTACACAGCCCCACCCTGCTGGCTCTCTACAGGCAGCTTGCTCCACCACAGAAGGCAGAAGAGGGTCACGGGTGAATCAAATCTTAGTCTCAAATTTTCTCCAGTTTTCTGGTAGCTGGATATTGGGGCTGGTTGCAGTCACAGCATAAGACATGACCAAAGATGCCTGCCCCTCAGAGATGGTCTTTGGGGAGCTCCCCAGTCCTGCCAGGTCTTAGGGGGAATTGCTGGCCCTGAGGGATCTCAGCATGAGTCAGCTCAGATTCAGGGCACCTCTTCATGGCCACATCAGAGGCTAAGGACCCAATTCATCAATGTCTTCTTAGGGGGGATCCTTTAAACAATGCTGCTCATTTCTTAGGAAATCTTCATATTTGACATAACAACCCATGCCAAAGTTGAAGAATCCTAGAGGAATCATAGAGTTTGACAGATGGAAAGGAGACTGGTGTAGCAGGAGTTTGGTGGTAGCCATCTAGAATATCTTCTTTGTTTTGCCCATAAGCCTGGAGAGGAGACTTGGCTATTTATTCTAAAGTCACCCAGTGAGTGAATGTCAGAATGAGAACGAGATCTTAAACTCAGTGATCTTTTAGTAAATGGTATTGATACTTTCTCAGGATTGTTTAAATGCCCTATGTTAAATGGCCTATGTTACATATTAGCTGGCTAGTGGGGAACATTTCTTGTCAATATTTCCAGAATCCTGATGAAATTTGCAAAGTTCTACCCCCTCCTGAATATCACTTGTTCACCTTGGGGAATAGAGAGGAGAGACCCCCAGTGCTAATCAGACTTTGTGATTTTAATTTTTAGGGCTTCAAATTCATTTTTTTAAATTGACTATGGAGTCAACTAACTTAAAACATGTATGATTCCAGGTTTGAGGAAAGGGATGAAGGAAGGGAATAGATGTGTGTCCTTCTTATCCACAACAAAGGCAAAATACAAAAAAACTGGGCTCCAGTCCCCTTGGGCAAATCATTTCCATTTTCTTTTGATCACCCAAAATGAGAAACACTCTTATAGTTTGTGAGATAAATGTGCAAAGGTTAATGCCAAGATAATAAGAAGTAATAATATTTATTATTTAAAATTACAAATAGTTTTAATTTTTTTTTTTCTGAGACTCCAAGTGGACTTTCCCGCCTCTTTAGGAAATGCCATTGACTGGTACCTACATATTGAGATCATTCTTGTCTCCCTTAGCTTTTTAGAAATTTCCTTTGTCTTAAAGCATCATCAAGATCTAACTGCCTGGCTTCTAGTAGAAGAATTCTAGGGCTGTCCTTGGACTTGTGTGGCTGGTGCTGGTGGGGAGATGTTTTCTGGGTAGAGGGGCTATTTTCACTGCACTCTAGAGAAGCAACTCTGCCCACTGATACAACTGGTCCTACAACCAGAGAGAGGGGGGCCATGTCCATTGGAAAAGAAAGAGTCTGGTCAGCTAGTGAGTAAGGAAAGGGCACGCTTTTCTTCCCAAGTGTACAATGAGGTTAAAACCCATGTATCTAAGGGACCTTGAGGCAACTTCTCCTCACAAGAGCCCTGAGCAACTCTGCCTGGCACAACCAGCGGGTGTCAGATCCTGCACCCTCAGCGAGGCCATCTTTGCTTTAGAAAGGGTCCTCCTGAATTTTCTCTGGCCACTTCCACACCCTGGAATCCAAACACACTTCTGTCTCCCATTTCCTTGCTCACCATTCTGGGGCATGGGGGACACCACCCTACACCCCGTCTCCACTCTCCTCTCTGTCTGCTGATTATTCTCCTCCAGATACACCTTCGTTGGCCTGCAGATGCTTCTGAGTCTCTTTACCATAATCTGGGGACTTCCTAGGGAACTCTACACAATTTGCTCACCCTGGCACTCAGTCCAGAGATGAGGTCCCACTCCCCCTTTCCAGCCTCAATTTCTTCCCTCCCTCAGTGTGCCCATCTTCCAATGTCACCAGATCCATCATTGTGTCACTTCTGCCTCCACTTCCATGCCATACTGCTGCTTGGGACACTCTGTGTCCATGTGGCTACCCCAGAGGCCATGGTCAGAAAACTAGTTCTTCTTGAAAGCCTTTTTTAATCTTTCTAACTGGACAGGGAAGCTACCTTGTTCTGGAATTCTTTATTAATATCTCTTTGGTGGCATGATCTTATGTTCTCTGATATTGCAATTATTTGACCACGTATCAACTCTCCCTCTTACATTGGGATTCTATTACACTAAGTATGAAGTCTGTTAATACTTTGTGGGCTTACAAACATGTATTCAGCTGGCACTTGTCTTTAGCAGCTAGCCCATCTCCTCAGAGTTGTCTCTACCTTAGGTTGGCACCTCAGACTACAGTCTGCTCATTGTCTATACTTGCAGGGTTCTGTCTTCACCAAGTGGCCAGTTAATCTTAAAATCGATAGGTAGCCACCCTCCAATTCAGGGCTTCTCTAATATTTGTGTCCAGATCTTGTCCAGGCTGCTGATCTCAGCCCTTTCCTCATCATTGTTTATAACCTAGAGATGTCTGTGGTCCCAGAGCTGAGGACCATTGCTTTCACAAGCATTTTCTATCCTTTTAAAGTTGTCATTGAATTTTAGGAAACACAAAACTGTAATCTCCAGGGGAAAGCACCTATAATGATGGAATTTTAGCTCTGTGTGATGTATGGGTGGAAGGAATACTTCTGTGAATGAGAAAATACCCAGATTCTCAAAAATGCACACTGAGTTATTACTCATTTTAGCTACTCATGGTTAAAAAGGTAACATCAAATAAAAAGTTTAATGTCATCAAGTGACTAGCATTCTGGCCTATTTGAACTTGAAATGTGAATCAGATCAGAAACCAGTGCCCACTTCGATCTGGTTGGTCACAGACCACATGACTGGGCATTAAATCTTGTGTTTCTAGAACTGAAGGCATTTTTCCTTTGAGAAGAGTACAATCCACCTAGAGATACTTAAAAAAAAAAATTCCCGCTGTCTTTTTGTCATTTTCTGGAGTAATTTTGAGTGGTGACCAAACCCTCAAGGGGATAATTTATTCTCATAGCACAGAGGCTCCCACTGCTGGGGCTATGTGGTGGGGCTCAGCCTCCATCCTAATCCACACTGAAGCGGGCGATGGAGTGTTGGTGGGTGGGGAGGGGTGGAGCAGCTCGGGACCCAGGGGTCTTTGTGAGTGATCCATTCCTGGATGTCTGCACTGTGTGGGGTTCTTGTCATTCACTCTGTCACTTGCTCTGACTCGGGTTCGCTCTCCAAATCCATCTCGCTTTCTGTCACCATGGTGAAGTCAAAGTGGGACCAGGAGACGCAGAGAAAGGAAGCAGAGAGAGGAAGAGAAAAAGAGAGAAAGAAAAGAGAGAGAGAAAAGTTAGCAAGCAAAGCAGAAACAGTTCTTGCAGGAAATACAGAAACCATTCCACCAGAATCCATTAAGAATGCAGGTTAGGAATAGCCAGTGTGAAGGACAGTTTGGGATTGTTGAATTTGTACCATTCTGAGAATTTGCACTCAAACTCATTGGCTCCTAAGGGTTATAGATTCTTTCCCTGCAGGGAGATTTGCATTTATCTGGTCCAAACCCACACTTGACAGATAGAATTCAGAGAATACCAGGACTTGTCATCACAGCAAAGTGAAGGCAGGGCTGGGACAATCATCCAGAATTCCTACTTCCTGTTCTGGTGCATCTTTCTTTACTATAGACTACACACTTCTTGTTTGTTCCCAGCCCCTTATGCCATCATCCTAAAGACTCTTAATTCCTCAGTCTTATCTTTGCATCTTCCATAGGATCCAGCATAGTGTATGGTATAGAGAAATGCCATTAGTAAGTATTGATTAGGCAAAGATGCTGGTTATATCTGCATGGGAGCTCTCATCAACCTAATCCAGCCTGTTTTCTTGAGTTCAACATGGCAAGGCATTCTGTTGCATAAGTAACACAAAATAGTGCTAATATCGTAGTGCCTTACTCTATCAATGCTTTCATTACAACACAAAGTATGTGTGTGTTTCATCAGGGAAAACTATTAATAATATTTCCTACTTTCCAAAAGTGAGACTGAGAGACAACAAACCTCCTGGTAGTGAGGGGTGATGCTGGGGGCTGGAAAAGAAATAAGCTTTTATTAAGCTTTTGCTTATTTTTGCACTCTGCAGGCATGGTACATATATTAAACCAGTTAGTTCTCATAGCAATCTTGAGGGAAGGAGACAGAGGCCAACAGAAAATGAGTAAATTGCATAGGGACACTCATCTGATAGAATTTGCATTTTAAATCCAGAATTTCCTGACTCCAGAGTCAGATTCTGTCCTGAAAATCTCAAATCCTCCTTTACCTTTTTCAAAATAACCCTAGCTCTCTCTTGCTGAGTGCCTGGCTCAGCATCCAGTCACAGCACTACTAAGAGGAGCCATCGAGTCCCTCCTATCTAGACCTTAACTTTTCCTTCTGAGTTCTGGATTTAAGTCTGCATAGGCTTCCAGTAAATGTTTGCTGAAAATTTATTGAAGTCATGAGATGCTCCTCTCTTCCCACACTGAGACCTGACTGCAGCAATATCACCATATAAAAGAGGAAACAAGCACATTCTGCTTCCAGTTCTGCCTGGCTTTTGCCTCCAGGAGCCCTGCTGCTTGAGAGCACCTCCTAAGGGCAGTGGGAAGAGATCTGTCTTCCTACTGGATGGGAACCATTTAAGACAAAGGAATAGGACAGCACTCCTGAAATGTGGATGGATGGGGCCAACCCCAATTCTTGACTTCTCATTTCTGCATTCTAAAGCAAACCCCTGCCCTCCTTCCTTCCTTCCTGGCCCTTTCTGTCACTGTGCCTCTTCTCATCACTGTTGCCATACATAAGTTTCTAAAATTGCTGTCCTTTTAACTCTTGTATTGAAATCCCCTGGATGTGGAGGGAGAGGGGCTAGTGTTTGGAAATCTGTATTCTTACAAAACTCAATAGATGATTTACATGGACTATATTATTTTAGAATCACTGCATAAATTTTGCTAGTCCAAATTCTTTATTGTCAAGTCAAGGTAAAGGATCTGGTTCATGATCACAGAATAGGTCAGAGTCAGAGTCACTGCAAGAACTCAGACCCCAACAGTAAGTGAAGAATTGTGTTCCATGCTTCAACTAGGTCTACTATGCTGACCCCACAGTCATTTTTCCAAAGCTCCAAATTAACCCAGAAGAGTTAGTTGTCATGGGTGGTGGTGGCCATGTAGAGACTAACAAGCTTACTCAGCTCTGGGAATCCGTGCCATACTGGTCTCCTGAATTAGCAATTGCCAGAGCTGGCTTTAGACCTGGAGACATGTATTCCTCTAGCAAATCTGGCAACCTGTCTGCAGGCTGAGGTAAAATTAGTGTTTAGAAAATAAACTGGGGCCCACAAAAACAACAACAGCAACAACAACAACAACAAAAAACATTTGTTTGGGGATGCTAAAGTCTTAGTGCTAAAAGAGGCATTAATACTGTTTTTGTCTGGCCCCAAGTGTCTATTGAGTTTCCCCCCATCCCTCTCAGAGACTTCCTGCCAGGCTGTCACCCCTGTGTGATATTTGGTCTGATCCCAACAGCAGGAGGGAACTCATTATCCTTATAATCAAGCCATTTGTTTTTCTTACTTTTACAGGTGGGAATCTCGTTACTCCAGGTCCCATCCTTCAGGCACTCGATCTGAAATGTGTCCATCTCCACATTATCCTGGAAAGAAACCAAAGAAGGGAGTGGGAAGAAGGAAGGGGTGGAGTCAGTGTTTGCTTCCCAGCAAAACAGAACTCAAATTCCAAGCCTCACTGTCCTCAATGGGATTTTCCACCCAAGTCTCCAAGGCCAAGTTTGAAGATAAGGAAAACATAGATATTGAACTCATATTCTGCATTCGTACTATGGAGAGGCAAGGGCTATGCACAAGGGGGCCTTGGGCAATTGTCTCTGAAAGAAAAACTGGAGCCTTGACTCCTTTTTCAGAGCACTGGTTCTAAAACTTGAGCAAGAGGTCAGCACCACCTGGGGGTTTATTAAAACAGATTCCTGGCCGGTGTCTTCAGAATATTTTGATTTATTGAGTCTGACCTAACCAAGAATTAGCATTTCTAGTAAGTTCCCAGGTGACGCTGATACTACTGGTCCAGGGACCTTTCATTGAGAACTCTTCCTTGAGAACAGTGGTCCTCTAGCTTGGCTGCACTTTAGGCTCATCTAGAGAACACTAAAAAAAAAAAAAAAAAAAAGCCAAGCCTCAGTTTCAATCCCAAAGATATTGCTTTAATTAATCTCAACTAAGATGTAGGATATGACTTTTTTTTTTTAAATAAATTTTTAAAGCTAAGTAAGAGAACCATTGTCTCAGATGAGATGATGGAAAAGTAAGGAGTACCTGTCACCTTTAAAACCTTTATTTCTCCACCCTACCCCCATAAGCCTGATGAACTTTATTAAGGTTGTTAGCCCTGATTAGAGAGCTGTACAGCACCCCCACCACTTGCTTTTTTAATCCAAGCCAGCCCATTCTCTGATAAAAGACTTTTGTGTCACTTCCAGAATTTCTAGAACATTTGGGAGGCTTTTGTGGCAGCTAGGAAATACTGTGCTGGCACTCTGCCAAGTTCCAGCAGCCCATCTGCCCCTGGGGAACTCTTGAGATTTTCTCTGGCCTTCACCCAGGCAGGCGCTGCACCTTCAGCACTTTGTAGCCTGTGTCACAGCTGACGAGCACTTGATCTTTGAAGGAATATGTGGCTTGCAAGGGCTCAATTTTCCCATGGACAGGAGGCTGTAGCTCAGGGCACTCGTTTCCTGGCAGGAAGCAAATGAAAGAACAGCAGGTAAGAAAACGAGGAAAAGTCTGGCAGTAGAGGGCCAGACCCACACAGCAAGCCCTGAGGGAAGAGGGAAATGACAGAACTGCACCGAAAACAGAAGCAAGTCACTTTCCAAATTGCAAGCCTCCTCCACCCCACTCCCCCGATTGCTTATTATTAAAATTAGATGGTTGGCCAGATGATTTCATGATTTACATGGACTATATTATTTTAGAATCACTGCATAAATTCTGCTAGTTCAAATTCTTTATTGTCAAGTCGAGGTAAAGAATCTGGTTCAAATCACAGAATACGTCAGGGTCAGAGCCACTGCAATAACTCTGGATCCCAACAGTCAGTGAAGAGCTAACTCAGGGTTGGGTGGAATATTAAGTATCATTGACTCCAACACTGTCCTGATGTTTTCTTTACAACATTCTCCACAGTAGACACCCAACATCTTTTTGCATTTCTGTAAGACAGGGAACTCAATTCCTCCCAAACCTATAACTTCTACATGTGGAATCCTCGGATTAAATGAACAGAGTTTTCCTATTTAGCTGAAATCTCTTCCATTGTAAATCTTACTCACTGGACCACGCAGAGGACCCCAATTACCCTTTTTTTTCCCCAAGACCCTTCTTCAAAGCATTTAGAGACTGTGAATCATATCCTTCTGAGACATCTTTTCAAAAGATCCTCATGACAAGATCCTCATGGCCAGAGCTTATCCCTGACACTTTTTCCTGGACAAACTCTCTTTTGTTAATTTCCTGCTCACTCCTCTCCCCAGACTGGGCACTGGATAGGCTAGTGCAGGCAGAGCCAGGGTTTCAGGGTCTATGAAGTCACACCTGGCTGATGTCCACCTCTTTCTTCTTGAGTTATTACAGACCTCTTGGGTCAAATGCCTCTATCCAGATTGAGCCAGGACTGGCTGCCTTGGGGAGCTGAGGAATGGGACCTGTAGGCTTTGCCAGTCAAGGGGCCCACAAGGGCTCCACCATAATGAAACATTGGAAACTACAAGCCCATGCTCAAATTCCAGCCCCAGACTTAGAGAAGCCTGGAGCGGAAAGGGCCCTTTCCAGGTTTAGTGAATCACTGTGTGAGGGGTGGGGTTCAGGAAACAAGATTTCTTTTTCTTTTCTTTCTTTCTTTTTTTTTTTAAGTCTCCCCACACGATGCTGAAATACAGCTAGTTTTGAAAACTTCCAGTCTAGTTCAAACTCAACATCATTGCTGCCCTGGGGCCCCTTTTACAGATAGGAAACTGAGTCAGGAGAGAGCATATGTCTTGGTCCCAAGGTTCTCAGCTAAGAGTCCCATAAGGTCACTAGAGAAGTTCCAGGCCTGCATCCCCTCCCAACCACCCTCTCTGTGAATGCTGAGCACAGAGGCTCACGCAGGTGAGAGGGGAGAAGTTACCTGCAGCTCTGTACGAGAGCCTCCAGCCCCGGTTCTCCCCCGAGTTGTCACTGCGGAACAGGATCTGGACACTGTGGCTCTGGGTACTGATGGGTTCTGGGGCTTTCTCTCCACAGAAGGGTCCCAAAACTTTTGAACCAGCTTTAATCTAAGAAAGGCAAGACAGAGAAAGAGAAGAGTCACATCTGAGCAGCTGAGAGCACTGCTGCAGGCAACTCTTCTGCATTGCCTTCCAGGGTCTTCTGGAAGCTTCTGTGTGAATCCATGATTTTTTCACTCATGGTTTGAGTGGGCCTTTCCAGTCACCAAACAGTTTCATCTCCATTCTCTCATTTTGTAATTTACAATGGCCTAGGAAGTGGACAAGGTAGGTTAATAATCCTCTGCTCGAAGACAAACATGTTGTGGCTCAGAGGACATAGCTCTGTCCAGTACACAAAACAGATGAGCTCTCTGCTGCCAAAGAACTTGTAGTCGAGTAAAGAGAGACTGATAAAAAAAAAAAAAAAAAACAATGATCAACATAACACAGGTATCTCTGCCATCATTTATATAACAGACAGTAGTATAATAGCTAGTAACTTTAAATGGGTACTCAAAGAAGGTCTCGTGATGAAGTGACATTGAATCTGAGGTGTAGGGTGAGTAGGAGCCTGCTGTTTGAAGAGGAGGAGGGGGGAGCATTTTCCAGGCAGAGAAAATAGCTATGAAAAGGCCAAGGCCAAAGGTGGGAACAAGCTTGGCAAGTGTGGAGCACAGGAAGGAAGCCATGTGGCTGGGACAGAGGGAGTGGCATGACCTGAGGTTGGAAGAGCAGGCAAGGGCCACATTGCGTGGAGGAATTTATGTGTAATTCCAAGTGAAATCTTGATCCAATCTACTTTCTTTTTTTAACTCTCAAGACTATGGGTAAATAGACTGTATAGAGCAAGGGTGAAAGCAAGAAAACCAGCTGGGGAGTTTTGCAGTTGAGCACGGGAGAGGTGATGGGGCTTGATTAGGACAGAGGCAGTGGAGAAGGAGAGAAGGTAGCAGGAAGTATTTGCTGATCCAGAGTCCCCCATTCCCAGTCCTGGGTTTTTCCTGTGCATTTTTCCTTCCATCTCTGAGGACCAGGACCATGGCCCATTAGGTGGCATTTGGTGACTTCCACAATCCTGGGTAGCATCTTCATCTTATCATGGAGAGGGGGGAGTAAAAGTGAAGCCCCAGAAAGTGAAGTGTCTGGTTGAGGTTCCCGTGCATAGCTCCTGGGAACTCTGTGTGGTAGCCAGAATTCTAAGACAGGACCATAACCTTCACCCCTGGCATTACTTTGTGATTATGTTTTCTTACATGGAAAAAGTGGTTGTTTTTTTTTATTTTTTTATTTTTAATCCCCTAGGGGACAGTAGAAAAGGACCTGAGAACAGCTTCTAGATGCTGAGAGGAACTCTTGGCCATCAGAAAGAAGATGGGATTTCAGTCCTACAGCAGCAAGGAACTTTATTCCTACAACTACGAGGATCTGTTAACAATTTAAAATGACCCTGAAAATGGGATTCTGCCCCAGAGCCTCAAGGTTCGAATCCCATCCAGTTGATACTTTGATTTCCATCTAGGGAAACCCTAATCAAAGAACCCAAGTGAATCTTCTGGGTCTTCTGGTCTACAAAACAATGTAAAAAGAATTGCTGTAAGCTTTTATGTTGGAGGCAGTTTATTACACAGCAACGAATACTCCTGTCCTGTGTTTTCTGCTAGTCTACCTGTGGCCAAGCTGCTTCTTAGCCTCTGAATTCAAGTAGGGAATAGGACAGCCTCTGAGTTCTCAAGTTTTCTTTCATAGACTCTCAAACTTCTCCCACTGTAGACAACTTCATTCTTTTTTTGTACTGATGATTGAACTCAAGGGCAGTTAACCACTGAGCCACATCCCCAGCCCTATTTTATTTAGAGACAGGGTCTCATTGAGTTGTTTAGTGCCTCGCTGTTGCTGAGGCTGGCTTTGAACTTGTAGCCTCCCAAGCCACTGGGATTACAGGCGTATGCCATCCTGCCCGATTGACGGCTCCATTTTTGACTCTCTCATTTTATGGCCCTTTCATCGAGGGTGCCTCTGTTGTGCCTTCCATCTGTCTTAGGCCAGCTCACTGTTCACGTAGTCTAAACAAGCACCTATTTGTACATCTGAGTAGCATCCCTTTTTCTCCCCAGCTCAGTATTTCTCCTGAGGTCAGACTCCAACATACAGGTCCACCTGGATGTTTTGGCTGGTCCCTCTCTAAGAATAGCTGATTTGCTTCCTACATGTCTAAACAATATCTCTCCTACTATCCCAGCCAATAGCATAAATTTAGGCTACTTTTGCATCTTATCTATACTAGTAGAATCACCACAAATTCAGTGGTTATTGGCCTGTGACATTCTCTTCCCTCTTTGTTTGCCTTTTGCATAGTCTCTTCTCCCAAGCAGGACCAGCAGCATAATTTATGGGTACATACAGTGCAAGATGAAAATGTGGATTCTTTGTTAAAAATATATTAAGAAGTTCAGGATAGCAACAGCAGAACAGTAAACCAACTATGGGTTCTTTTTGAGTATAGAGCCTTATGAGACATGGACAGATTGCAGGTCCATGAAACTAAGTGTACCCCTAGGGACTTTTGCTAATGCAGACTTGACTCTTGGACTGTCTATCTCAAACCACACTGATGGCCAAGGAGCTTGCTTTGGATCATGGAAGATTCTTAGACTAGATCTAATTAAGCTGGTAGATGTTATCTTAATAATGACTTTTGATAAACTAGCTGCCTGGCCTTGTATCCTGAGATAAGATGAAAACAGCAGAATATCAATTTTCCCAATTCAGCCAAGATTTTCCAGCATTCCCTGGACAAACACCTTCTGCAGGCTTACCTTGATGTAGTCATAAGGGCAGGGCACCTCAGGATGGTCCTCAATGTCAAAAATGTCCTCGAATTGCAAGCTGACCATGAAACCCTCCTCCAGCTCAATGTTGTAGAGGCATTCAGAGCTCTTGGGGTAAGGATTGGGGTAGTCAGGGCTGGTGATCAGGCCGGTCCTCTGGGTAAAGAGGTTGTCACTGCACTCCACTGTGGGAAACATAGCAGAGAACATGGCACACCAACACCACAGCAGACCCTTGTCTATGTCACTGTGATCCTTCTAGTGCCAGGAAGGAACCAGTGTCCCCATTTCACTGATGAGGGGAAACTCCATGAAGGGAAGTGATTTACCCAAAGTTAGATACCTAACAATTTGCAGTCAAAACTCAAATGCAGAGGTCTCTGTCGGTCCAGAGTTATTTACCCTGTGTGATGGCACCTCTCAGCAGATTCTCTGCTACTTGTGAGGAGCAGGAAGGACTCTGATAAGGGAGAGGCTTGGGATGGAGTAGTCATGGGGTTATCTGGACCTCTTTGACTCTACTCATCCCCTTGCCCAGACTTCATTTAGGTCTCTGCTCAAACCCTTCCTTGGTCCTTATTGTAATATAGACCTCACACATACCCTCTCTCCCAGCCCTGTCCTTCCTTTATTTTGTTTTCCCCTTCACCATGATATTCACATTTTAAGGACATATTCATTTTGATTGTTTGCATGCAGGAACACCAACTAATCTATTTATTTCAACATTACGCCTATTTCTTTTGAAGCCAAGAAAATTTTGTTATTTTATGAAAGCAATGGAGACGCATTTTTCAAGATGCTTAAAGCAGAACGCTTAAGGTTCCTGCTTGCTGCTGTGCCTGGCCTTCTGCTTCCTTTAAACCAGGTGGTGCCATCAAGCCTAAAAAGGCATACACTGTGTTCTTTTCTTGGGCTTCCAAAAAGTCATCCTAGCCCCCACAATTCTGGCTGTCATTGAAAATCTGAGGTGGCAGGGAGGACCCTGTGGCGGGTCCACTATTTTCAGGTGCATTTTCTCTCATCCGCTTCTGACTCTTCACTGGCTACAGGATCTTTTTCTGTATAGCCTATTTTGTTGGCACCAAGCACATCTTGCTGTTTCTTCTTAATCACTGTAGAGCTGGAGGAAGATGCAATATATACACGAATCATCATCCTGGGACCAGCGGCTGGCAGTTGTCTGGGCCCTGGAAAGGGCTGTGGAGCAGCTGCAGCGGTGGCTAGGATCCAGCTAGAGGCTGAACCCCAGCCCTGTCCTTCTTACTTTTTTCCTTCAGTGCTTCTTATTGCCTGACATTATGTCACATATTCATTTGTTGGTTTCTTTGGCCCACTGGACTGTGCGTTCCATGAGCTCAGGGATTTGACTTTGTTCTGCACTGCAGTTATTGTAACCAGGGTCCTCCGTCCTGGCCTGGCCTGTCCCTGAGTTAACCCTGCCCAGGCACCTTTGTTTACTGTTAAACTTTTGCCCTTGGCTGACCCATCCTAGAGCTGGGATGTCCTTGCTTGCTAAGCCTTTGTTCATCCTACTCATTTGCAAATGAAAAAAACTGTAGCCCAGAAAGGCGGGGTGTGACTAACTTGAAGTCCCACAGAACTTGCAGAACAAGGTTTAGATTGAGGTCTCTTAAAGTCCCATCTGTTTTCATTTTCTACACAAGCATTCTCATAGGGGTAATCTCACCCCAAAGGGGACTAAAATTGGTTCTTGGTAGGAAGTCTTGCTGTTCTTATGCATAATGCATAGACATAGTGCATAAGCAGATATACAGCATGTCTGTGGTATCAAAGAGAAAAAAAGAAAAAGAAAAAGAAAAAGAAAAGGGCTTCTGGGTGCAGAAAATAAAGACAGATTGAGAAAACTTGCTCTACCTTCAGCCCTCCCTAGCCTCGGTATAGAGTAGATAGCTAATAAATACTTACTGAATAAGAATAGAAAACATACCCCGCCCCAAGAAAACATACCCCCTGCTTTATTCTGATGAGTATTTGGGCTTTATTCAGAAATGAGCAGTTTTTGAAGGAGAAAGAAAAAGAGCTCCTGTCTACAGTCTCACCTCCCTCCAATGTTGCCTCACTCATGTTCAGAGTGAGATCCCTGGGTCACACGAATCTGCTGGCAATTCCCCAAGTGCCTCAAGTTCTATCACACCTGTGAATATTTGCAGAAGCCATTCTCCCTGCATAGAATGCCCTCCCTCTCCTTATACTTTTCATCTCTGCCAAGGGTCATCATCTTGGGGGAGTATTTTCCACTTCTCCAGGCCAGCTCAGGTCTGATTGAGCTGTCTACACTTCCTTCACATAAATGTAGCAAATGTTGCACTTTCGGCATCTAACCATCTGCTTATAGGACTACTGCCCCAGTAGTCTAGGGACTACTGCTGTAGAGTGGCTGAGCCTTTCCATCTCTCCATCCCTGATTCAGCCCAAGGCCACAGCATGGCTACCATGTTGATGGGAGGTGAAAACAGAGAGAGAGAAGGGGTGGAAAGTTTTCCTGCTGCCTCTGTTTTTGCCTCTATACTTCCTCCTTTTGGACTGAGTTTCTCTCTGTCATAGAGAAACTTAGAGGCTATCAAAAGCAAAGAGAAAAAGGAACTGCTGGGAGAGGCTTAGTTCATGGCTTAGAGAGAAAGGACTGGGGACCCCAGGTTTCTCCCTACCTTGGTCATGTTGTTCACCCTCTGTAGGAAAAGAGACAGGACCTATGCAGCACACATTCTGCCCAGGAAGATATTTTGGTAGTCAAATATTTTCTCTTGTATTTCACTGAGAACAGGAACCCAGGCTTCCAGGCTGAGGGAGCATTATTTCAGTATCTCTGTTCACATGGTATCTGAAGCACACCTCTAACTTCATTGTTAATTGTCTGTACTGTGTATCTATCTTTCCCTTGAGCCTCTTCTAATTGTACTGGAAAGTGTGGCATGTCATGGCAATGTATAGAACCAGCCCCAGGCCCTACCTCGGCAGGTCCTGTTGTCCGTGTGGAGGATGTAGCCAAAGCGGCAGGAGCAGTAGTAGCCGCCAATGTAGTTGTGGCAGTAGTGGTCACAGGACAGCTCCTCGTCCTCCCTCTCCTTACACTCGTCCACATCTGTAAGGAAGATAGAGCCTCAATCAGGGCATGCGTGATGATGAAGATGACCCCCAACATATACAGCACTTAGTGTGGCCTGCTCCCTGGCCACTGGGGGTTCAGGAGTTGTCTCATTTAATCATTACATAAAGCCCAGAGGTAGTTATTATCTTCGTTTTACAGATGAGGAAACTCAGAAAAGTGGATCAGCTGATCCCAGACCTCAGAGACTAGGGTTCAAACCTAGGCAACTTGACTCCTGGTAGAAGAACTATCCTTTAACAGCTGTGATAATTACTGCGTGCCAGGCAGCAAGCTCAGGGCTGTTACTACCCCTGTTTTATAGTTGATGAAGTAAAGCCATAGAGATCTGGGGTGGGCTGGCTGCAGAGCTTGAGTTCTTAACTTCTACTTCATGTTGTCTCTTTCTTTCTTTCTAAGCCCCTAGTTTGGGTCCAATCCTGTCCTAGGCATTGAGTACACATTTCTCCTAAAGGGACATATGAATAGCCAATAAGCTCATGAAAAGATGCTTAATATCATTAGTTGTCAGGAGAATGTGATTTAATCATAATGAGATACACTACAGAGCCAGCAGAGTGGTTAATATTAAAAAAATGACAACATCTAATGTTGGTGAAGATATTGAGCAGCCAGAACTCCCAGGCATTTGTGGACTTTTATAAAATGATGTGATGGCTTTGGAAAAGATCTGGCGATTTATTATAAAACTAAGCATAGCTGCCCTATCACTCAGCAATTCTATTCCTAAATATTTATCCAATAAAAGTGAAAGTATATGCTCACAAAAAGACTTGAACAAGAAGATTCATAGAAATTTTATTAATGGGAGCCAAAAAATGGGTAGAGCCCAGTTGTCTCTCAAAGGGAGAATGGATAAAAAATAATTATAGTATATTCCTATCATGGAACACTATTCTGACAGGACAAGGAATGAATTACTAATGCATGCAGCAACATAAGTGAATCTCAAAAGCATAATGCTGAGTAAAAGCATTCACCCTCAGATATATTTTCTGTATGTTCATTTATGTGAAATTTTAA